AAAGGTAAATGGTTTTCTAATAATATTAGCCAAAAAGACACTGTTCTTCTGTAGCAAACCCCTGAGACCATAAGTTACTTTATGACTGCCAAAGGCTGGTACTTGAGACTAATGCAAAATTTGGCAGCAGATGCATTCAACTTTTTACCATTCCTAAAGATCTGGAACCCTTACTCTTGTATTTTCACAGTTCAGCAGAATATCTCTCTCTCTCTCCTCACCCTCCCTCTCCTTTCTCTCTTTCCCTCCTCTCTCTCCTCTCTCTCTCTCCCTCTTTCTCTCTCCCCTCCCTTTCTTCTCTCCCTCTCCTTTCTCTCTTCTGTCTCCCTCCATCTCTCCCTCTCTCCTTTCCTCCCCCCCTCCTTCTATGTTGGAATCCTAGGCATAGCTAAGATCAAAAAGTATAAATTCAAAATCACCCCATTAAATATCATAGATCTGGGGATCCATTTGGCATTGAGAAGCTATTTGAATCCATCTCATTTCATCTTGTTTGAATCACTTCATTTCTGTAGTCCATTGAATATGTGATTGTTCCCTTGGCCTACATTTTAATTTTACATTTGGTACATATCTTATGATACAATTTTTCAACCAGCCAATCTGAGTTTTTTTCTGCTCTTTCAAAGACAGACATCTCCCCTGTAAGGTCATGAGTCACAAAGGAATGATCACAAATGTTGATAATTGGGCACAAAATCACAGTATTTTTCACATTTTGTTTAACAATGAAAACCCACCAAAAATAACCTGAATACCTAATAATTGAGAAATGGTTACATAAATAATAATCCATTGAATCAATGGGAAAATATGCAGACCATAAAAATATCTGCAAGGAATGTTAATGATAATATAACAGTGAGTGTGAAAAACACAAAACAAAACTGTATATAATCCCAGGTTATTGAAGAAAAATATACACATGTAGAAAGGGAACAAGAAGGAAATGTTCTCTTATTTTTGTGGTGGTTACCACTGGATGGTGGGATACAGGTGAGCCCTCTTCCTATTTATGCTTTTCTTCATTTTCCAACTTTTCCAGAATGAACATACGTTATTTTTACACTTGGAACTAAACTTTTTTCAAATGCCAAAAAACGTAGATTGCTACCTCAGGATCCAGAAAGCCCCAGTAAATGTTTGCCCTCTTCTAGTTGGGCTATTCCTTCTCATTTTAAAAGAGGGAAGATATTGCCACACTATTAAGCAATCAGCCAGCAGACTTCATTCAAGAGCAATATACTGACTTCTCAAGAGAAAATTAGTGACGCTTAGGAAATTAGAGCTGCTAACCCCTGAGTGGTCTAATGCATCCCTCAAGAATTAGCACCATATACATTACACTTTCTGGTGTGGGCACTTTCTTTTCAATTTAACTGTAAATATTTCAAGTGATTGCAATTTCAACTGCTATGTTTTAGACGAGTCAACAGCTATTAATCCATCTTTGAACAGAATATAATAACTCCAGCAAACTTCTGAGATGTCCATTTAATTCTCTGGCCTGGACCCACTAGCTCAACAAGTATCTTAGACCTGGTTCAAATCCTGGCACCTCTACTTAGCTCTAAGACCTTACACAAGTCTCTTTACCTATCTGGTCATAGGTTCCCTCATTTGCAAAAGGAAAACCTATCTATATATCTCACAAATGGTGCTGTAGGAATTATTTTTTTTAGAGATTTTATTTATTAATTTGAGAGAGAAAATGAGCCAGAGAGAACACGAGCAGGGGGAGGAGCAGAAAGAGAGGGAGAAGCAGACTGCCCATTGAGCAGGAAGCCTGACATGGGGCTCCATCCCAGGACCCCAGGATCATGAACTGAGCCGAAGGCAGTTGCTTAACCAACTGAGCCACCCAGGCACCCCAATGTGCTGTAGGAACTAAATGAGATGATGCACCTAGGGAATGCAGACAGTAGGTACTCAGGAAATGTTTGGTGATTCTGGAGTGTTGGACCGGGGTTGAATAGTTGTTTTCCTGGCAGAGGAGATGGGCCATGCTGAGTCAACAACCCCTTCTTTTGCATTTCCCTGGATAGCACAAGTGGGTTGTTCATGACCTTGAGTCAGCAAAATTCCATTTGGAACCCAAACCTTGGGCTTAGCCACACCAACCAAATTCACCAGCCCCAAACCACAAATATGGCTCAGACAGTACCCACTGAGCCTTGCACTATTGATAAGAGCTACAATCATAACACTAGCCTTGGAGAAGGGAAAAAGAGATCATGTTTGCCATGCAATCAGTAAGGTTTGATGAATCCTTGATGTAGAGTCTGAAGAAAAGAGTTCCCAACTTGATAACTGAATGCACAGTTTATTTATCCAATGAATAACTACAGAGCACCTACTAGACCAGGAACCGTTCTAGGTGCAGAAGACACTGCAGTGAACCAGAGGGGGGCAGGGAATCTCTGCTCTTATGAGTTTGCCTTCTTGTGGGGAAGACAGACAACAGATAAACAAACCAGAGTTTCTGGTTGTGATAATTGTGATGGAGAAAATAAACAGGGTAATGGGATGGAGAATAAGAGGACCATACTTACGATGGTCAGGGAAGGACTCTCTCAAGAAGTAACAGAAAGATGAGAAAGACCCACCAGGTGGAGAAGAGGGAAGCATTCCAGGAAAAAGGAAGAACGGGTGCAAGAATGAGGTGGGAAAAGGCTAGGTGTGTTTGAGAACAGAAGGGAAAAACATCTTTGTAACTGAAGCATAGTGAGAAGAGAGAATTGGTAGGTTAGGAGGTTGGAGGAGTGGACAGGATTAGCTAAGGACCAAGACTTGAGAAACAGGTTCTTGGAGGAAGATGTTTTACTTTTGGCATACTGAGTTTGAAGGACCAGAGAAGATCTCCAAACTAAAGGTCCAGGACTTAGTCCTAGGAACTAGAGACAATGATGAGATTCAAAAAAAAAATTGTCCAGTTGTATCAAAATCATTGGAGAATGTTCTAAAAATACAGATGTCTCAGGCACTAAAAATACAGATTTCTGGGATATCACCCTGGGAAATTCTAATTCAAGTAGGTCTTGGTTAAGATCTGGAAATCATTTTTGTGCTACTAGCAGGTAATTCTGATTCATTCATCCAAGAAATATTTTTTGTGTTCCTACTATGTGCCAGGAAAATTCTAAGTGCTAGAGATACAGCTCTGAACAGGTTACAAAGCTCTAGGTGTAGAGAAAGAACCGGTGGTGAACACATAAACAAAAATTACAATAATGACACATGTCATTTTAAAAAGCTGGTGAGATATAGAGTAACAATTACCATGGGTACTATATTAAATAAATCTAAAGAGAAGATATCTCTCTGAGGAAGTAATTTTGAGTTGATAGCTGAGAAATAAGAAGGAACAGCCATGTGGTAGTCCAGGGGAACAGCATCCCAGGTAGAGGGAACAGCCAGAGGAATGGCTTGGTTGAGAATTCAGTAGCTCTATTTCTTTGGTTTATTCTCACTTGGTTAACCAACCAAAATGGGAGAGAAGGCACTATTTCATCTTTATGTATTTAGATACTAACCAAAGACTTTGTACCTGGCACTGTGCCAGGTGCTGATACAAAGATGAGTAAGAATGGTCCTCTTTCTCACAGAGTCTGCAGTCCAATGAGGGAGACAGATAACAGAATCAGTATGGCTCCATGAGAAGTGAGAGCATCCCAGATAATGAGTTCATATTCTGAGAAAGTCAAGCAGATGATTAATACTTTTGCTGCATTATGACGTGAGCAACTATTCTTGAAACTATGCATAATAAAATTACTTGTATTTCTCTGTGGCCCTGCCTGCTTAGAATATCTGGATTTTGGGTGACATATTTGCACAAAGGGATATTCGGTCTGAGGTACTGCATAACGACTCTTTTTGGGGAAATAGCTTCCTAATAAAAACTAACATGTATAGCACACTTAGATTCACCTGGTTTGACTTGCAATATTATAGTGTTCACAACGTCCCTAATGGGACTCCTGTTATCCACTTTTTTCAGATGAAGGAATTGGAGTTCAGTGGGGTAAAAGGACTTTCCTGAGGTCATTCAACTCAAATGTGACAATTTCCCATCTCTGTCTGAATTTGGAGTCTCAGTTCTCGTCGGTACCTCTCCCTTGAATTGCTTAGTGATGGAATTGCTATCCTCATCCTGGTTGCCAGAGTAGACCCCTCTCTCTTCTTCCCCATCCCAAATATCCACTTGGGTTGTCTAAACCAGCCAGATCTACCTGCTTCTCCCTCCAGGGCCCCCTGAAGTTGGAAAAGTGGAAAAGAGAGGGTTTCTTGTTTGCACACTTGGGGAAAAGAGGATGGGATAGCATCCAGACTGGCCCTTACTGGGCTGTCCCCACTGGCTGTCTATACTCAGGTCCAGTCTCCAGCGGACCCCTGCGCAGTGCCTGAAGGGTGGGGCCCAAAGCTTAGCACCTTGTTCCCTGCCCACCTGTTGGGGAAGAGAAATTATTGGGCCTCAGTGTCCAAAGTCTGCTTACAATTAGGGATTGGATCAGGAAAAGCAAATTGTTAGGCAAAAGGAAGTAGTAAGTCTGTAGCCACCTGCATAGAGTTGGGTCGCCTTCTTACACTTAACGTTTTCAAACTCAGCGGCTAGAAAAGATGAGCTGGTCGTGTCCGGACCGCAGGCTAGCGCGTTTGCAACTTAAAGGGCTTTCGCTCTCCCCAGCCCCGGGCCTCCTTTTATTTCGGACTTAGAGTGAGTCTGTGCGTGCGCCCGTCTGACGGTCTCTGGGTGTGTCCTTCAAAGAGCGCCTTTCCCTTGTTTCTAGGGCCGGCTGGCACCCTCTCCTCCCCGCCGCCTCCCCTCATTCCCTGGTTCCTTCCCTCCCTCCCTCCTGTGCGGAGGCTCTTGGCCCAGGTCCCTCCGCCCGGGCGGGTGCAAGCGGAGGACGCAGGAGAAGTGAGGTCACGTCTCCCTTGAGCCCCGCGCCGCCGGCTTTTCAGCGCCTCGCGGCGAGCGGGCTGCCAGAGCTCCGGCCCGCGCCGACCGTGCGCTCCTCCGCCTGCCTGCGCCGCCGGCCTCGCCCATGTCTCAGTACGAGCCCAGCTCGGACTTCAAGAGGGCTTTGGACAGCAGTCCGGAGGCCAACACCGAGGATGACAAGACCGAGGAAGACGCGCCCATGCCCAAGAACTACTTGTGGCTCGCCATCGTCTCGTGTTTTTGCCCCGCGTACCCCATCAACATCGTGGCTTTTGTCTTCTCCATCATGGTGAGTGAATTAGGGCCTAGAGTAGCCAGGGAGGGAAGACCTGGGGAGGCGTTGCCGGCGCTGGGCACCCAGCGCGCTTTCCGCTGCTCCCTTACGCACTGCCCCGCGCACCCCGGGTTCTCGGTCCTTTCGCCTCCTCCTCACTTTCTCGAGCTCTCAGAACTCTGCGGCTGACCACCAGCGCCGCCTCCGCGCTGCCTGCGGCGCTCAGAGCCCTGATCCAGCCTCCCCCCGGCCGGCTTTCCACCTCCTTCCAGCACCCAAGGTGCGCAATGTTCAACACGAGCAGTTCTTCCGTGGACTCCCCAGCTTCTTTCCCCGCCTGCCTCCTCTGACATTTGTGGGCACTGGTCCGGTTCTTCTCCACCTGTTTTTCTATAACCTCAAAGTGTGCCGCCTTTGGAGGCAAAAGCACGCCCCATTCTCTGAGTTCTACGGCCCCTTTCCTGTGGCGCGCGGGGCGTCCCCTCTCCGGCGCGTGGCACTTTTACCATACAGTCTTTGCTGAGCCTGGGCGCCGCCCCGGCCACTTTCTGCGGGTCCCCAAGCGACTCCCGAAACCCTCTCCTTGACTCTGGTCCTATGGTTTCTTAAGCATCCCCTCTCCAGGGCAACAGCTTCTTTCTACGCCAGCTCGCTCGCCACGGCACTCTCCAGCACCCCTTTGGCCCCCCCTTTCCAGTGCGCTGGCTCGCTCTCCAGGCCTTTCTTGGGCGTCCCCTGTGCCCCTCTCACCAGCAGTGAGTGCCCTTGCCTCTCTTTTACTCTTTTCTGCCCCAGCATGTCGTAGTTCTTCCCTGATTTGCTGCGCCCGGACCCTATCTCCGCCGCTCTCGGCGATCCCCAAGGGCTCCCCAAGGCTCGGCTCCGCCGCTCCGTCCCGCGCCCAGGGCGCTCTCGGTGGTGCACTGGGGACACCGCGCGCCCTTTGCCCGTCCGCCTCCAGAACCGTGGCCTCTCTGGAGTAGAGGTTGCCGATGTTCCGGTCTCCCGTCCCGGAGCTTGGCTCTGCGGCCCCCTTCTGTCCCGGTAGGAACTCCCGGGCGAACCCCACCAGGAGGGCGGCGAGCGCTCGCGAGGCCTTCGCCTTATTGACTGGAGCAGCTGGCCCGTGGGAGGGGGGCGGGGGGCGGCCGCGTGAGGTTCCGACCCGCACTGTCCCGGGACAACCCTTGCAGTGATCTCCCTCCCCGCGGGCCCACCCCGGGCGGCTAGGTGACCGAACTCCCCAGTCACAGCCAGAGAAAGCCTGATTCAGGTCAGGGAAGATCCAGTGTCTCCGCCCCCTTGCCCCATTCAAGTCCGCCCACACTGGCCCATGGATGGCATCATATTCGCTTCCTGGGTACACACAAAGACCTCAACTGCACACGCAACCCTGTTTGTCTGCTCTCTGCCGCTGCTTATGTTCCCAGTGCTTGGGTTCAAACCCTAGTTCCGACCACAGATCAGCTGTATGATCTCTGGAAATCACTGCATAGCTCTCAACTTCAGCCTTTTTGTCTGTAAAATGGAAATAATCCGAGCCATAATTTCTTGAGGTTGTTGTATTAATGAGATGTTTGTAAAATGCTTGGAACAGTGTTCAGCATGTTATTATTAGATCTTTACTCAAATGTCACTTCCTGAGGCCTTCTGTGATCACTCTTCAAAATCAAAACCCCCACAAGCTCTATGCCCCCTTTCCTTGCTGTTTTCTGTCCAGAGCACTCCTCTCCATCTGATACATTGTTTCATTTATTATTATGCTTATGTCTGTGTCCCCTCTTTAGGGCATAAGCCCTATGAGGGTAGGAGTATTTGTCTGTATTCTTTGTTGCTGTTACCTTCAGCACCTAGGAGAGAATCTGGCAGGTGGTAGATGCTCCACAAATACATGAAATGAACGCATGTATGAATGAATGAATGAATGAATGAATGAATGGTATCAATGGATCATGATATCTGCTTCACTCCTGCTGCCATTTCCCCCCATCCTGGAGCCAGGAAAACTGTGGTATCAGGTTCCTTAGGACCAGCCAGCCAGTTTCCTCTCTTCCTTCCTCACCAGAGATATCCGGTATTGGGTTTTCTGCAGCGAAACTGGGAAGGATGCTGCAGCCAAATTCTCCAGGCAGCAGCAGACATTCTGGCTGGAATTGGTGCCCACATTCTATCCTGATTTATTAATGAATCAGCAGCCAGTTCACCCCTTTCCCAGTGCCAATTATAAAACTGCCTGCAAAGGCTTTTTCCTTCATTGATCTGAGATGAGCTAACACTCCAGCTGGTGGTGACAGGTTGGATACTAATGATGCCACTTGGTGTGTCCTGGGGGATAAGACTGATACATGCTTTGAATGGAAACCTTTTTTTCTGACCCTCTCATCCCCATTTCCTTCTTCAAGACTTTTCCAATAGTTTTCAGCAAGACACCACTCTCACGTCAGAACACAGACACTGGACTTGGAGAGGTGACTATGTGCAAGTTTCATATCTTCTTAAAGCCTTGGTTTCTTCATCTAGAAAATGGGAATGTGAAAATTGTTTTAGGTGGAGCAAATCTGTTATAAGGATGGAACAGGATAAAGCATGTCCAGCTCCCAGTATTGTGCTAGGTATGTGCAATAATTGTTGAGCAGATGGATAGGTTTGGAGCCTGGAAACAACATATGTCACATATGAAAACCAATAGAACATCAAATGAGTGAAATCCAAATTCTAAAGTTTCCCGCACCCTTCTCATCACATAGCCTCTAAAGTGCTTTCCCATCGAAACCATGCAGATCTGGGCTTGACAAATTTCATGATAAAGACTCCAAAATCCAAAGAATAAAGAAGAGGAATGGTGTGTAGCAAAAAGGAGGTGGATCAACTCTGCTAGCTGTGTGCTTTGCCTACGGTGTCTTGTGGGGTCTGTTTTTTTTAAAGTCTGACTTACCTATAATTTGTGGTAAAGTGAGGATTGGTACATGGCTTGTCGTATTGGAACTTCAGTGGATCAAGCATTGCCAGTGGCAGAAACATGGAAATCTTTGCTTCTCTGTGTATTGAAAGTGCACTTAACCTGTACTCAACTTTAGGGATACATATCTCAAGAACTTCTCCCCAGACTGGGCCTCTTCTAGCCCATATCACATATTCATGGGAATCTGAAAATGGCACCCCTTCTCCATGCAGATGCAGCCCTACACCAGGGCACATGGCTTAGAAAGTAGAGCCTAGGCTGGCTTTCAAGCCTCGTTCCCCCATGCTCCCATCCATCCTTGGTTATCTCTGTTTATTCCACCTGAAAGGAACTCTGTAATTTCCATACAGCTTTTGACTCCAGAGAAAGAATGTTCATTCAACAAATATTTAATGAGCACCTATTATGTGCCAGGCTCTATCCCAGACATTTAGATACTCCTCTACCTCTAACAAGGGGTAAATAAGATCAACAAGACTTCTGTGTTCTTAGATTTAGAAGAAAAGTTCTAGGCAAATTACAGGAATATTGGCAATTTTAGGTTGGGTTCACCATCTATTGGTTGTGTAGCTGGAATTTGCTACCTGACTCAAGAGACTGAAGGTCAGTCCATGCTGAGCCTCCATTCTTGATGAGGTCATGATACAATTATTTGCACAGCTGAACCAATTTGGTCCTTCTAAGTGCAGATACGAAATAGCCAATGACTTTGGATTGGGTGATTTATAAGCCTTCTTTCATCAGAATTTCTTCACCTTCACACTTATAGAACCTGTCTAGACACCATCCACTGAGGTTCAAATCCTTTTCTGCCATTTGCTATGTTTGTAATTTCATGCCACTGACTCAGTCTTTCTGAGACTTGGTTTTTCAACCCTGTAAAATGGGGGTTGTGATAGTACCTACTCAAGTGCTGCTGTGAAGATTGGATGATAAAAGTTAAATGTTTTTATCTCATTGCCTACGACTAGCTAGAACTCAGTAAGTATTGATGGTGATGATGGTGATGGTGATGGTGATGATGATGATGATGATGTTTATATTTTAGGGATACAAGTGATTGCCTTTTCCAGTGGCAGTTTGTCTCTTTTGATTAAGACCAGAAAATTCAATTAAGAAAAAAAGCAATGACAAGAAAATATGTCACTGGAATAAATAATTGTTGTAGCCTAAAAGTAAATATTAATGCTAAATTGGGATGCATACAAATAAACAAGAAAGACTTTTGGTTCAGCATGTAATATTGAATAAGACTTTTTCTCCACTCTCTTCCGAAACCACTGAAAATGACAGTAAGTGAAACTAAAAAAGTACAAACACCCAAGGACAAATTAGGAGAACAGGTAAAGAGATGAGAGAGGTGACAAAATCTTGGAACATGGAAAGCAGCTAGTTGAGCATTGACCAACTTTACACAGTAGATAGTACTGAAAACTGAATCTTGCAGAAGGAGCCGACAACAATAAAATCCATTTACCCTGAGCAACTCTAGAAAGGCTCAGAAATTAGAGGTACCAACTTGAAGATATCACTTTTGAAGGTAGAAGCAAAGAGTAGGGCTGAAGAGTGGAGGAATCTTTGACAGTCCATTTAGGAAATCATAAAGAGGGATCCCTGGGTGGCTCAGAGGTTTAGCGCCTGCCTTTGGCCCAGGGTGTGATCCTGGAGACCCGGGATCGAGTCCCACATCAGGCTACCTGCATGGAGCCTGCTTCTCCCTCTGGCTGTGTCTCTGCCTCTCTCTCTCCCTATCATGAATGAATAAATAAAATCTAAAAAAAAAAAAAAAGAAATCATAAAGATCATCCACCAGCCCAGGCAGTAGGTACCTGACAGAAAATGGAAGATTTGCTCTCTGGTTAGATTAAACAGAAAGGCTCTAGACACAAGGCACGGCTGAGGGTAAAGTTAAGGCATCATTGAATGAAAAAGTCTCTAGCCCCTGTCCCTACTTTGTACCTCTACCCTGGCATCCAAGCAAGAGATTGGAGAATTTTCTCACCAAAAGAAAAAAACCTACAGATACAAACATGTAGAAGTTCTCCAGAGAAAT